ATTATCTTCGATTATCTTCGATTATCTTCGATTATCTTCGATTATCTTCGATTATCTTCGATTATCTTCGATTATCTTCGATTATCTTCGATTATCTTCGATTATCTCCGATTATCTTCGATTATCTTCGATTATCTTCGATTATCTTCGATTATCTTCGATTATCTTCGATTATCTTCGATTATCTTCGATTATCTTCGATTATCTTCGATTATCTTCGATTATCTTCGATTATCTTCGATTATCTTCGATTATCTTCGATTATCTTCGATTATCTTCGATTATCTTCGATTATCTTCGATTATCTCCGATTATCTTCGATGATCTTCGATTATCTTCGATTATCTTCGATTATCTTCGATTATCTTCGATTATCTTCGATTATCTTCGATTATCTTCGATTATCTTCGATTATCTTCGATTATCTTCGATTATCTTCGATTATCTTCGATTATCTTCGATTATCTTCGATTATCTTCGATTATCTTCGATTATCTTCGATTATCTTCGATTATCTTCGATTATCTTCGATTATCTTCGATTATCTTCGATTATCTTCGATTATCTTCGATTATCTTCGATTATCTTCGATTATCTTCGATTATCTTCGATTATCTTCGATTATCTTCGATTATCTTCGATTATCTTCGATTATCTTCGATTATCTTCGATTATCTTCGATTATCTTCGATTATCTTCGATTATCTTCGATTATCTTCGATTATCTTCGATTATCTTCGATTATCTTCGATTATCTTCGATTATCTTCGATTATCTTCGATTATCTTCGATTATCTTCGATTATCTTCGATTATCTTCGATTATCTTCGATTATCTTCGATTATCATCGATTATCTTCGATTATTTTCGAATATTTTCGATTATCTTCTATTATCTTCCGTTATTAGATTATTCGGTTATTTGGTTATTTGATCATTCGTTTATTTTTAATAATTCGATTATTAGATTATTCAAATAATCGATTAGTCGATTAGTTTAGATTATTCGATTAATTGAACTATCGGTTATTTCCCATTAATAAGTTATTTACAAATACCTAATCAATAGAAAATCAATTATTTTCGAAAATAATCGATTTAACGATTTTTTTTGATAAATCGTTAAATTGAATATTTCCGAATAATCGAATTATCGATTATTAGATTATTCGATATATCGATAATATCTAATTCAGTTTTAATCTTATATTTGATTGTTATTAATTCAATTACACATTAATAAGGTAATAAAACGATCGTTTTATAATATTGAATTATCGATTTGACTGGACGATTATCAAAAGATTAGATTTTTTTTATTCGATTAATTAAGAATTATCGATTATTTTTGAATAATCAACTCTTTTCGACCATTCAAATAATTGATTATTTTCGTTTATTCAATTAAGCGATTATTTTCTAAAAAATTAATCGAATACTGGATTAATCGATTATGTCCACTCCTAAGTAAGATGATAGCTAGAGAAAAATGTTAAATACCAAAGTTTTAGGGTTTTTCAAAATCCATTGCAATAAAAACATCTCACTCTTGTTTAGAATGTTGAGATGAATTGAAATATGAATTGCTAAAGAAGAAGCAACTTTTTTTGTCATAACTTTGTGACTGACCCTGTATACCTACTTAATTTATCTTTATTGTAATAGATTTAAAGAACCTAAAACCTTACTTTAGAAGATATCGACCGTTTCTAGCCACTTTTTATTGTGATTAGATACCATTGCTTGTCCATTTTAATTTTGAAAGACGTTTGTTTTTGTTTCGTTTTTACCTGTCAGCTGTCAATCGTATATTTGTCAACGTACTCTCATAGCTTTAGCAAAAAACAATATAATCATTACAAAATAAAAATTAATTTAGTTATTTAAACTTTAAAGACAACACCTACTTTTTGCTGTATAAAATCAGTTGATTACATTTTGCCGCAAAAGCAAGCGAAAAAATGATGGAACATATTTAAAATACGACATTTATAATATGCACGACCATTTGCAGCTTACATTGAAAGCAATATTTTTTTTTGTGGTTCACTAAAGCTGTACACAACAATTATTATTAACAATGTTTAATGACTTACATGTTTTATTACAATGGTTTCAATGCATATTATATTTAGTCTACATGGGAGAAATGTTTGCATATGAAATTTAATTTCATTTTTAATATCTATTTTTAATTCATGTCGAGATACCTTTCTATTAAGGTTACTATTTTATTATAGAACATCATAGTTTCCGTTAAATTTATGGGACATCGGTACAAAATGTAACTTAACGAGAGCTTTAGTTTTAGGTTTAGAAAAAACGTTTTCAAAATACACAGTTTTAGCATTACTTAACGTTTTCAAATTATTTTAATACAAATTTCTGTTATTTTGATAATTTTGTTGACTTGGCAACACCGTTTATACCTAAAATCTGAAATATGTTACAAAAAGTCTACAAATTAATTAAATCAACAGATACATACAGAGCGCCACCTCTCATTGATGTGACTGGTAGGCCCAATTTTAATCGAGTATTTATAAATAAATTGGTGTTTTACGTCTAATTTCTTGATCTCCTCGGCCCCTAAACTGAGTTCATTGGATTTTTATGGAATCATCTTAAAACTTCAGCTGTTGATAGAGGAAAGGAACCTAATATTTTTGGCCGTATCTATTATTCATTGTTGACGAAACAGGCATTACGGTTGTGCATCATAAACAAAGTAAAAAAGTCGGCTTGAAAGAAAAAAAAAACAGGTTTGTGCCATAACATCACAAGAGAGAGGAAAACTCGTCACCGTTGTGACAGCCATAAATGCATCTGGTACTTTTGTTCCACCCTTAATAGTGTTTCCCCATAAAAACATGTCTGAACATCTAATGAAAAGCGCACCTCCTGGATCAATATGGGCCTGTCATCCATCTGGATGGATTCAGACGGATAGTTTTACGAAGTGGTTTTCACATTTTATTAAGGTTAATAAACCAACAAAAGATGATCCGATTTTGTTAGTTTTAGATGGTCACTACTCCCACACGAGAAACATAGAAATCATGGACATGGCCAGAGAAAATTATATTTCAATTGTGTGCTTACCACCACATGCGACTCATAAAATGCAGCCATTGGATGTGGGTTTCATGGCACTACTAAAAACGTATTACGCTCAAGAAATAGAGACGTTTCTCAAAAACAACCCAGGAAAAGTTGTGACACACAGCAACATTTGCTCACTATTTGGAGAAGCTTATAATCGGGCTGCAACAATGAAGACATCGATTAATTCATTTAGAAAAACAGGCCTCTTTCCTTGCAACAGAACTGTTTTTTTGGAGACATCGTTTTTTTGGGCGAAGAACAAAATCTGCCTTTACAAGAAAGAATTGATATTGAAAATGAAGGAGATATACCAGCAGCTATTTCAAGTAAGGACAAACATATTTCAAACATGTCATCAGATTTAGTTGTGGATCTCCCTGCAGAGTCCGAAAAAGCTATGGTACTTCCATCAACATCATCAGGTTCTGCCAACATCAATAGGTCAGATAAAAGTGATAAACTTTTGCTGGTCTCTCCAAAAGAAGTTTGTCCAGTGCCGTCAACCTCTTCAAATTATGGTGTGAATTCTAATAAAAAAAAGGCAAAGCAAGCTTAATAACATCTACTACATATAAAAAAAACTTGGAAGAATCCATTACCAAGAAACTAAAAAAAAAATAAAGGTGTGAAACCACAATCGTCGGGAACAATAGATAAAAAATCCAAAGCTAGAAGTACCAAAAAGGCTGAAATTAGATCGAGCAGCTCAGATTCAGAAGCATCTGTGCATTATGATTACTCGACTGATGAGGAGGATTACAATGATGCTGAGTGTCGGTTTTGCCATGGAAGATTTTCCGAAGACACTCGTGGAGAAAAGTGGGCTAGATGTATCGTTTGTTTTCAGTGGTGTCACGAAGATTGCGGCGAGCTTGATGGCACATATTTTTTTGCCCTATGTGTGAAAAAATAAAAGGAGAAAAAAGCTTTTGTTAGATTAGATTTTGATCATCCTTTCGATTACATTTAAAATAAAGTAATAATTTTCTTTCAGTCCCTCTTTTTTTTTTTTTGGGTATCCTATTATGAGACAGTCTTTTATTAGGAACCCTACCCTATCTCATATTAGGAGACCAATTTTGAAAATAACAAAAAGTGATTTTTTTAGTTATTACCACTTTACAAAAATAATTAACATTTTTAATAAATCTGATGTGTTAAGATGTGAAGTATACACAACAGTCTACCGTTTAGAAATAAAACAACTTTTGAAAGTTACATTCTTACCTATTTATTCAAAAAAATAAAAAGGTGTCTCATATTAGGTTGCCTTCCCCTATTCATGAGTAACTGCACAGTAAACAATCAGAAATAATCCCTAAATGCCTCTTGCACAGATATATTATTTGTAGGTTGAGAAAATTTATCGATATACCGAACAATAGTACTTTATTTTTAGAAAAATGGTTGGGGTGTAATATTATGTAAATGGTAGATATTCTAACGACAAAAAAGTTAGGTCTTCCAGATTAAAGTAAAAATTAGTTGAAATCTAATAAAGACTCTTAATTCCTTCAGATTGCATCTAAAATTTATTTAGACAAATCTGTATTTTTTGTTTTATTGAATAATTTTTAGGGTCGAATATGTCCGAAACATTTTTTATGAACTACTATACAACTTATATACACAAGTTATTGCATATCTCTTACTGTATTTCACATACAGAAAAATATTAAAAATCATAGCAACTGCAAACATTTCTCGGTGCTACGACAACTACACGACCAACCTGACGCCCCTGCCAATCCGATGCCAATACCGCATATAACCGATTGGCGGGCTTCAGGCTGGCCTACTATGATACATGTGATATGTAGTAGTAAATCGTAGATCTCTTCAGTCCTCTTGGTGACTCGGCCCCGGAGGGTCGCTAGGGGGGAGGCTAAGCAAATGTTAAGCTTCTAGGAAGATCAACGCCGTCGGTTTCGGTTCCATGTTGCTCTTCTTCGCCTCCACTACAAGGAATTCGATTTCTTCGCGGTCGCGTCGCGCGAAGCACTCTGCGATAAGGCGGGCTACGTCTTGGTGCTGGAGACCCTCGACGCGGGTGCCGTCTACTTGAAGGATGAGTTGGCCTACTTCTAGACCTCCTGCATAATATGCGGCACCATTTTCCTATTGAAAAATAAATAGCAATGATATAAAACAATTATTCTCCAGAATCTACCAAACATATCTTCTATTGAAGTGAACTTAAAGGTATTAAATAAAATTACTTCAATATCTTGAGTATATAGTTTTAGGGAGTAGTTTTTGTTTATGATGTTAACAATTGTATTGAGTTTAGTCAAAATCGACATACATCAGTTCATTATATATTTTATTCAATAAATATCTATAAAACGACTGTAGCTTCTTCATTTGAAATAATTTTAACAGGTTATGAGCCCAGATGCATGTGCAGCCGTTAAATAGATTTAAAACCACAAAAAAAAAATCGGAAAGAAAATGAATTTAGCTAAGTACGTTAAACCATTATCTGGGGAAGCAGATTGGCCAGTATGGAAAAGAAAAATTAAAGACCTACTGGACTATCATGAAGAAGCCCTGGAAGTCATTGATGGCATACTAAAGAATCCTAATAAGGCTTTAGAAGCAGGAGCTACGGCAGCGAAGATCAAGCAGTATAAAGAAAAGACTGATCTTTACCGTAAGGCAAATAGTTATGCTAAGACAGACGTGGTATACCAAAAAGTAATGTAAAAAGAAACAGCTCGTGATGTACGGCAAGCATTAAAACTGCAATTTGAAGCTACTTATTTCAAATCTGTACAGAATTTTTGCCTTTTGTTAGAATCCAGATAAAGATGTTTCAACTCATATTGCAAAATTAAGAAGTTTGTGGAATGAGTTAAACAATGGTCTTAAAGCTAAAAACATTGCTCAACTTCCAGATTTGATGTTAATTTGTAAAGTTCTTCTTGTTTTACCAACTAATTTTGAAAATTTCAAGTCTGGCGGTTATTATTGACCAAAGATACAATAAAACCTTTGAAGAATTAACAATGCAGCTTCGTATGCATGAAATAAATTTTATGAAGGTTGAAAAATCTGTGCAAGTAGCATTGGTAGCCAAATCAGAGAAAGAAGATCAAACTAAGGAGAATAAAAAACAGAGATCTAAGAAGTATGATAACTGTAACTATTGTACAGAAAAAGGTCACTGAGTAAAGAATTGCAAGAAATGGATAGCTGATGGAAAATCTGCCAAAAACAACAGAGTTACAAGCAATTTTCAATATAGCTCAGCTGCAACTAGTTCGGTAGCTTAAATGTCCATGTGCAAAGAGCTCAATGTAATTGAGAAAAACTCTGAAAATTGGTGAATAGATAACGGTGCAACTAGGCGTGTAACAAACTGTTATGATTATTTTAGTACTTCCGAACAATTTGACTCACCCAGTGTAATGAGAACAGCTGGAAAAGAATTCTTAAATGCAGAAGGAGAAGATACTATAAGAGTTTTAGCAATTTTGCTAAAAGATTTATGGTACGTTCCTAATATGACCAAAAATCTATTATCCATTTTATCAGCCCAAGATAAGAACAAAAATAGTGAGTTTAAGTCTACAGCAACAAAGTGTACCTTAACAATTGTTAATAGAGATGTATTATGTGGATATAGAGATATAAATGGTGCACTCTACAAAGCAGATGATTTAAAGCCAATTTTATCAGAAGTAAATGCAATAGTCTCAGATAGTTCACTATTACAACTTTTTTATGAAAGGTGGGTGCATCAAGATAAACGTCATAAGAAATTTATAAAAAAGAGATGTGGTTCAATGTTAAGCTAAACAATGAACTTTGTGAGCTGTGTATATACGGAAAACTGCGTCGTCTTCCATTTAGTACTAGAACTAAAGCCACCAAACCAGGTCAGTTAATAACCGCAGATGTTTGTGGACCATTTAAAGAGTCTTTTCAGAAAAAGAGATATTTAGTTTTATTTAAAGACAGCTTCACAAAATTTCGCTTTGGTTATATTATAAGGGAAAAACCAGAAGTGAAGTATTGCTTGGAGAATCTAGTCAAACATGCAGAAGCATTTGGTCACCCAATACAAGAAATATTAACTGATAACGGAGAAGAGTTTGACAATAAAGATTTAAAAAATATCTTTCTGCACATGGAATTGTTCAGAGATTAACAGCTCCATACACCACTGAGCAGGATGACCTTAGTGAACTAGAAAACCATACTGTTATAGAAATGGCTAGAACATTCAAGTATTCAAATTCAGACATAGTATTTCCCGAAGCATTTGGGCCGAATTAGTCACCTCAGCTATCTACATCCTCAATAGAACTACTAAGTCATCACTACAGGACAAATCGCCATTTGAACTTTGGTTAGGTAAGAAGCCAAGACTAAAACATTTACGAATAACAGGCTCTACCTGTTATGTTATGGATATGAAAGCTATAAAGGGGTATCTCGTAGGTTACGACGGAGATGAAAGGTAGAGAATTTGGGTGAAGAAAAGTCATAAAGTACTTCCGTCTAGAAATGTACAATTTCAAGAGAAGATAAGCGATTGCACAGAGTCCATTAAACTTACGTTTAGCAACAGCGAAGAAAGTGAAGTAGAAGAAGAGGACATGTACAAGAATTCTGAAGAAAGAGATTTAGAAATTGAAACTGGAGATACTGAATACGAAGAAGAACTAGAATGCAATCAAGACAATTATAACCTCAAAGATCGATCAAAAATAAAAAAACCAGTGATATATGAAGATAACTTAATGATAGCAGAAGATTTAGTCAACACTGTCAAAATTCCAGAAACATACAAAGAAGAAATGGGTAGTCAACAAAGCAACAAGTGGCAAGAGACTATGCAGAGCGAATTGACGTCATTGAATGAAAACCAAACATGGGCGTTGGCTTATCTACCCGAAGTCGGTTTTCAAAGTTAAAATGAACTTTGATGGTAGTATTAAAAAATACAAGGCCGGATTAGTAATTAAAGGCTACGAACAAAGAACAGGTGTTGACTTCAATCAAACTTTTAGCCCCGTAGCTAAATTAAGTACTATAAGATCTATTATAAGTATTGCAGCCAGCGAAAATATGAATCTTATTCAATTTGATGTATCAACAGCCTTTTTATATGGAGAAATGAATGAAGTAATCTACATGAAGCAGCCAGAAGGTTTCACAAATGATACAAACAAAGTTGTAAACTGAAGAAAAGTTTATATGAATTAAAGCAAGCTCCAAGATTCTGGAACAGACGCTTTGGTAGCTTCTTACAAAACTTAGGTTTCAGAGTAAGTGAAACTGATCCATGCTTGTACAGAAGAGTGAAAAATAACATAAAGCTTATACTAGCGTTTTATGTTGATGATGGCCTGGTGATATCAAGTGATATTCAAGAATTAGACAATTTTTTGGAAGAATTGAGAACAGAATTCAAAATTATAACAAAATCTGCAGACTATTTTCAAGGAATAGAGATTGAAAAGAGAGAAAAAAGCATCAAAATTAATCAAAAGGCTTATATAAGGAAGATTCTTGAGCGTTTTAATTTTTCATTTTGCAGACCAGTCTCTACACCTATGATCATGACAATAGAAAATTCAAAATCAGGAAAAGTTGACGAAAAAAGTGAATATCCCTATAGGCAGGCGATAGGAGCCCTAATATATCTAATGCATAGTACAAGACCAGATATAGCCTACAGTATATGATTTTTATCAAGATCTTTTGAAAAACCTACAAGTGAAGATGTTTTAAGGGTTAAAAGACTTTTTAGGTACATTGCAGGGACTCTCGATTTAGGAATAGTCTACCAAACAAATTTTAATAAAGGAATTTTAAACTGTTACAGTGACTCAGATTTTGCAAGATGTATTAGCACTGAACGATCTACTTCTGAAGTTGTTGTTTCACATGTAGACGGAGCAATATCATGGATTAACAGAAGACAGCCAGTAGTAGCAATTATCGTGGCAACTGAAGCAATAAAGGAAGTCATCTGGTTGACAAATCTATTTTTGACCATTGCCAAATTAAGTATAGTTCCCATTCTGCAAGTTAGTAATTCAGCAGCTGTCAAATTGGCACAGAATCCCGAATTCCACAACAGAACAAAACACAAAACTGTTAAGCACTTTTTTGTCAGAGAAAAAGTCATGGAAGAAAAATTGGGAATTCAGCAAATAGCCACGCAGGACCAAGTCGCGGATATTATGACGAAACCCTTACAGAAACTCCGATTAGAGGAAATAAGAAAAACAATGAATATTTTTATATAACTTTATTTAACAAGGGAAAGTATTGAAATGAACTTAAATGCATTAAATAATGTTACTTCAATATTTTAAGTATATAGTTTTAGTGAATAGTTTTTGTTTATGATGTTAACAATTGTATTGAGTTTTGTCAGAATCGACATACATCAATTCATTATATATTTTATTTAATAAATATCTACAAAACGACTGTAGCTTCCTCATTAAAAGTAATTTCAACATCTTCAATCTCAAATGGTCTTAAAAATGGCATTATTTCAATTCAAAATAGTTCATTTATCTTTAAAGAATATTCAGAAACTTCTTCTTCATTGGTGTCTTCGGCTTCGACAACTTAAGTCATTAGCCTCGTGTTCTATGTAGGTTATTGATTGTACTAGTAGTACAGGAGTGCTAATCCTCCCGCAGTCATATATACAGGCCTTAGTACTGTTTCCCAGTGCCACATTAAAAATGAACATGTTAGAAATTGACAATAAAACTATTTCATCTACATTTATTGTTAGTAAGTTGGCAAAACTTTAGGGTTGGTAAGATTGAATAATGATGCATGACGTTTGTCATGTTGAGGATGTCAATATATAGAGTTAATATAAAATGTTATAATAGAAACGTGGTTGTAATAAAGTTCGGTTTTTAATAATGAATATTAGACATTACTACTTTTTAACACATCCACACCTAAGATTAACAGGTTATGGGCCCAGTCTCGCCAAAAAGGTGTTAAACAGTCAAGTAAAAAGGTTGCCGCCGGTAAGCGATTTTTGCCGCCAAGGTATAAAAGAAAATACCCAGTGTTTGGGGTCAGAATCACTGATCTGTATTATTTTACTGGATAGGATATAGGCTATATTTAACATACTAAAAAATCGTTCCACCAAGGAGACCGGAAGTGAAAAAATTCTGGCCGATTTGGGTAAATTATGGTGGGTTCATAGAACTGAAATTTGGGATAATTTGACATACCTAACCTATAATTTGATTAGTTTTTCTTCTTATTCTTCTTCTATTCCTTTTGCGGGCGATGTCCTTCGGGAAATTTCACCCATGATTTGATTTTTTAGGAAAGAAAATATAAAAATGGAAACGTGAATCATATTGTGTCTTCAGGAATGAACGTTTATTGTTTATTTCATACTCTTTTTACTTTGTTTTCCACAATAAAAACATCTCATCGTAGCTTGTTGACACAATTAAATGACAAATGGAAATAGAGGTTACGTTAAATAACATCCGGTCCGCCATATTATTTGCCCAAATCGGCCAATTTTTCGGAACGTTTTTTAGGGGGCTATATCCTATCCAGTAAAATAATACAGATCATTGGTCAGAATACGACGTTCGACACCAGTAAACTATGGGAGACCAGACAGGATTGATAAGCACAGTGAAACTAAATGGAGAAAACTGGACCACATGGAAGTTCCAGGAAGACATTACTTTAAAATCGAAAAGATATTTTGATATAGTACTTAAATGAAGCAGTTCAAAGACCAGCTACCGCTACGGAAGAATGGGATAGTAAAGATGTAAAAGCACAAGAAATTATAGTATCTAGGTTAGAAGAAAAAGTTGTAACGCACATTTTGTCATGTAAGACTGCAGCGGAAATGTGGACAAAGCAAAAAGCTATTTATGAGCACCAATCTAAGTGTGCATGTATTAACACAAAAATTCTGCTCGTTAGAATATACAGAAGGAAAAGCAGCAGAATTTATATCACAGTTAGAAGAAATAAAAGGAACATTTAAGTCGGTGGGAAAAGAAATAAGTGACAAAATGATAATTACAAAGGTATCATTACCTGAAAATATGAAATATTTCATATCAACATGAGAGTCGACACCCACAGATAAACAGACACTGACTGATCTTATGTCAAGATTAATGTTAGAATAAGAAAGATGTAAAATTATAGACAGGCATACAGCATTGGCAGCTAGAACAAAGTTCGTCAGGTCAAGAAAATATATAAAATGCTTTGAGTGTAATAAAATGGGTCATATGAAGAAGGACTGTCGCAGAACAGGCAAAAAGGAGTGCCATTTTTGTAAAAAAAACAGGACATTTAATGCAAGATTGTTGGTTCAAGAAACTAAAAGAAGAAGAGAAAAAGGATGACAGAAAAGCAGGTGATCATGCCTTCGTAAGTGAATCAATCTTATTAAATTGCTCTGGTGTTATGGATATGTTAGACAAAGTCACTTTGAGCTCTGAAAATTGGTGAATGGACAGCGGCGCTACAGAACACATGTGTTTCGATAAATATCAATTCAGATTAATAGAAAAACTACTGGAGAAAAGGCAAGTTAGAGTAGGAAATGGTACAATAGTAGATGTACAAGGTATAGGTATTGTGCAAGTAATGGCATGGAATAAAAATGAATGGGTGAGTACAGATTTAAATAATGTATTATATGTACCAGATTTGTCAGTAAATTTATTCTCATTAAGTACTGCACTGGATAAAAATTGAAGACACAAGTGGATGAAGGGCCTATGTAGCAAAATAATTTTTACGAGATATTTCGTGTTAAAGTTTATTGTTTGGCAGTTATTCCCTAGTACATAGGTCCTTTATCCACTGGCAACTTCTATATTTGATGATATATTGTCACGGAAGACATTTTAAATGAATTTTATCCACTTGTGTCTTTAATTATGAAATGCATTCAAATAAAAATAAATGTGAATTAATAGATATAAAGGATAGTGTAAGAGCTATAGCAGAAAGACAAGGAAATTTATATAAAATGCTGTTTAAAATACAATAATTTACCCAAAACATAGATATACAGGCGATACATTGCAATACTGTTGTAAGCTTACATGACTGGCATAGAAAATTGGCCCATATTAATTTTGATCAGGTAAAAAAGCTTTTAAAAAGAAATTATATACGATTCACTGATGATCCAAAGCCATTTTGTGAAATATGTCTTGCTGGTAAACAGCATAAACTTCCATTTCCTGTTAGTGAGACTAGAGCAGAGAAAACTTGTGAGCTTATACATAGTGACTTATGTGGCCCTATCGAAGCTGATTCACTTGGTGGGGCAAAATACTTTTTATTATTAAAGGATGATTTCTCTGGATACAGATATATCTATTTTTTAAAGAATAAATCAGAAGTTGAAAGAAACAGAAAATTTTATAGCTATGGCAAAAAATGTAACTGGAAATAAGATAAAAATAATAAGAACAGACAATGGTCTGGAATTTGTGAATGAAAAGATTTCAAAAATATGTGAAAAAAAAAAATATTTCATCAAAAAACTTGCACACTTGCACTAACAGAATGGTAGAGAAGAAAGAGAAAATAGAACAATAATAGAATCAATAAGAATATTATTACATAGCTCTTTTGGGCTGAGGCAGCAAATACTGCAATATTTTCTATAAATCGTGCAGGAAGAAGCCCACAAAAGAATCAAACACCATTTCAAGCATGGTATAAAAAGAATTGTAATGTTGAAGTTTTTAAAGAATTTGGATCAAAAGTTAGTTTACACATCCCTAAACAAAAACGTAACAAATTAGATGCAATAAATAAAATTGGTATTTTTGTGGGATACTCGGAAGAGGTTAAAGGTTATCGAATATACTTTCCAAGCAAAATTAAGGTAGAAATACACAGAGATGTTGTTTTTATTCCCAAGATAGAGAAAAAAGAGACAAATAAAAGGGAGAATAAAATTGTCTTATTAAACTCTGAAAATGAGAGTGAAACTCTATCCGAAAATGATAATAATGATATTCCTGATCTTGCAAATGAAATAGAAGATTTGGAAGAACCAAGAAAAGATACTTAATCTGAAGAAGAAAATTCTGAAGATATAACTGTGAGATCAGGAAAACGTGAAATTAAGAAGCCAGCGTGGATGTAGGAGTATGACATGAGTGGAGCTGATGTGTTTTTACTCGAATGAAGAAGAGCTAGTTAGTCTTAAAGAGGTAGTGTCGGGTAAAATAGTGGGCAGTGGAAGCAAGCTATGGAAAAAGAGCTGTTGATAAAAAGGTTATAGAAAGTAAATGAGTCTTTAAAATAAGAGGTGAAAATGATTTCAAAGCACGTTTAGTGGCTCATGGTTTTCAACAAGAAAGTAGCGACGATTTGTATGATATTTATGCCCCAGTGACAAAATTAACAACGTTTAAAATCCTGCTTGTAGTTGCAATTAAATTGTGTAAACCTATTCACCAAATGGATGTATGAAGTGCATTTCTTTATGGAGATATTAATGAGGAGGTATTTATGACTTTGCCAAGTAAAAATAAAAAAAAAATAGTAAAACTGTTTGCAAACTATATAAGTCTATTTATGGCTTAAAGAAAAGTCCTAAATGTTGGAAAACTACTTTTGATAATTTAATGAAAAGTGAGGGTTATGTTAGATCAGAAAATAATCATTGTTTATACTTAAAATGTACAGATGATAGCAAATTATATATCTTGATATACGTGGACGACTTATTAATTTTAGGAACAGGCGAGAAGTTGAAAATTTGAAAGTCTTTTTAAGTAACAATTTTTGCATGAAAGATTTGGGCATTATTTCTAAGTATATAGGTATAAATGTTAAACAAAAATTAGATGAAGGATATACTGAATTCAGTCAGGAAAATTATTTAAAAAAATTTTTACAAAAATTTGACATGCAGGATTGTAAACCTATTAATACCCCGATTGATGTATACACTGATTTTAATTTTAAGAACACAGAAAATAACCCAGAATCACAAAAGCCTTTAGCAAAGCTTGCTGGTTAGTAAAAGTTTTAAAAGATTTTTGTTTATTTGATTTAAAGAAACCTATTATAATATGTTAGGATAACCAGTTAGCAATTAAAGTGCCAAATAATCCTGAAAACAATAAGAGATTGAAACACGTTGATGTACGTTTTTATTTTATCAAAGAAAAGATCAATAATGGCTTGGTGAATATCATTCACACTAAGAGTAAAGACCATTAGCTCGAATTAAATTTGATAAGTTTAGAAAAGCTTTGGGATTATTATCTGAGTAGAAATTTCATTTCTTATTATTATTGCAGTGTCGTTGAGCTTTGTTATTTAAGATTAGACTCAATATAATTAGTGATAGTGTAAGAAGATAAAATGGTTTTATTGAAAGGGGGTGTTATAAATTGACAATAAAACTATTTTATCTACATTTATTGTTAGTAAGTTGGCAAAATTTTAGGGTTGGTAAGATTAAATAATGACGCATGACGTGGTTCATGTCGAGGATGTTAATAAATAGAGTTAACCTAAAATGTTATAATAAAAACGTTGTTGTTATAAAGTTCGGTTTTTAATAAATTCTAAATAAAGAAAAGTGGTTCCCATCATTGCTTTTTAACAAATCCAAACCTAGGTTTAACAGAACAAACTCAAAAATACTACCCTGACTAACGTGTTAAACCAGCCGAATAAAACAATTAACAAATCAGAACACTAAATATCCTATATCAATAACTTACATTAATGTTGATTATCCTTGGCAAAGGATGTTTGGTATTGGCCCCTCCTTCTATAGCTATCCCGAGAATTGGTTTGGTCTTTTTGACGGTTATCCTCAGGTTGCCTTGTTCGTCCAGCACGACCTTGGCTGGATCATGGTGTTCCGGTCCGCCGTCCCTAGTTAACCTTTGCATCGATTGATGCCGCCTCATGCCCCCTTCGCCTTCCAGGAGGTTCTGTTCGTCCTTCATGTCGAAGCTACGCGAAAGCTTGTGGGCCAGCTCCTAAAAAGAAAAGATTTTTCAATAATACACCACGAGAAATGTCCAAAATAAATATGGATTTGCTTTTGTTGCTCGTAACAATTTGGTGTAAAACGGAGACAGCTCTTATTAATTGAGTAAAATAAGTCCTGAAATGTGTTTTTTAATTCTGGTAGAACCAAGTCTAAAATATTTTTCAGTAAGTCGGAAATTTTTATAATATAACCTTTTTTATATTTTCTCTATTTCTGTTATTTACATTTCTCAAAATTTTATTGAAACGTTCTTTTCATATGCACTTATGTACTTATGTATATAAGTAGAACCAACAGGGCCTGATTGAGTGGTTCTACGTAAAAAAACCGACAAATTTCAGCAGTTATTTTCCAGGAGTTGTCCCGATATTGCACCAATTGAATTTGTCACAAGCACAGTTTCTTGTCATGCGAAAAGTGCATTGGAGTGGTTAAAAATCATAAATAGAAAGGGTTTCTCTTACAAAAGAATATTTTTAATTGAATTAATAAAAATTTAATATGTATTTTTTTTTTATTTGATCAAATCAAATCATACAAATCAAATCAAATTTATTTGTTTAAATATTAAAGTACATTACCTAATAGTAAAAAAAAATAGTTATATATATATATATAAAAAAAAAATTCTTTAAAGACATCTGATTGAGCATCGAACCTAGGCATTTCTGCTTGTTTTGCTTTGATCAATCAGATGATTCTATTTATGTACATATTTTTTTAGAGACAGGAATTGAATTTTACATATAATTATTTATCACTTAACAAAAGATACAATATTTAAAAATAAGAACAAGGGACGAAGACATTCGACAGAATAAACCGATAAATAAAAAGATAAATAAAAAATAGACAGTACCTTAGGAAAAGTAGACAAAAACCTTTTGGCTTTTGATATGTTTTTTATTTATATTATGTTATCATTAGATCGTACATTTTTTTTAATTTATTAAATATTTTTTTATTTCAATTTTAAACCTTTTTGTTTTGATTATTTATCTGAGGCGTATCGGAATTATGTTAAAAAATTTTGGGCCAAAGAATGATAATGACCTTTGGCTAAGTGATTTTTTGAAAAATTGTACAGGAATCTCCATATTAGCGACTGAGCTTGTTAAGCGGGTATTTTTTTGAGTAAAATAATTTTTAGCATTGGTATATATTCTCATTATACATTGATAAGCGAAAAGTAATTTGACGTTTAGTATGTTCGATACATAGTACAATTTATTTGTAGAAAATAGTCTCTTTTTTTAGGATAATTTTATTTTTAAAATAATATTTTGTTATGTCTGTACAATTTCAATAGTGGTGTTAAATGATCCACCCCATGCTACTATGCAATACCTTAATATAGATTCCACTAGGGAGTTATAAAGTATCATTATATTTTTCTTTGAAAGAATGTCCCGGAGAACATAAAATTTGTGCATTAGGGCTCTCAGTCTATTACTAACATGGACAATATGCTCAGACCAACGTTTTCTATCTAGGGGCAGTTACAATCGTTTTTTTGACAGTCACTACTATGCAATTTTATACAAAAGCTGTTAGGTTGATTAAAATGGTTGAACTAAAAGTAATGCATTTTGTTTTCAATACATTTAAAGTTAGTAGATTGTTATTTAACCATAAACTTATCTTCCTCAGGGCCGTTTCTCCAGTGAGTTTTACCTCTTCCCATTCTTTTCCAGCGAAAATAATTACCGTATCATCAGCATAGCATATGATATTCCCAGATAAGTTATTAATTTGTGTAATGTTCATATAGACCCGAAAAAGAATTGGGCCCAATACTGTTCCTTGTGGGATTCCCATCTTTAATACTGATTTAGAACTTCCGGCGTTGCCAATTTTTACGCTCTGGGTTCTATTAGATAAATAATCCCTCAGGAGCCTTAATGCTAAACCTCGTATGCCATAGTTATTTAGTTGGTGAAGTAAAATGTTATGGGAAACGGTATCAAATGCTTTGGCCAAATCAAGAAATACTGCAGCACATTTTAATGATTCATTTACAGCGCTAACCGTCTTTTCCAAAAAATCAACTACCGCAATTTCAGTGCTTGACTTTTGTATAAAACCGTATTGACAATCTGTAATAACATTATGATTATGAAAAAAAATTATTATTCTTCTTTTTACTGCATTTTCAAAAATGTTAGCGATGTTGTTGATAACAGAAATTGGTCTATATTGTAAGCTCACTATGGTCTCCGGATTTGTATACAGGTGTGACAATTGATTCCTTCCATTGACTTGGAATTTTTCCTGATTGAAAGTATTAAGGATATGCGTTACAGGAAGAATAATATATTAATTTATATTTTTCATTGTAGTTGCTGTTAGTTTATCTGGACCAGGTGCAGAGCTATTTTTTAATTTGATTATTAAAATAGTTACTTCATTTTTTGTTACGGGTTTTATTGATATGTTTTCAATTTGCTTAGTTTTTTTTTGTACTTCCTGTTATGTCATTAATGATTTTCCATATTTTTTTATAATCGTTTCCGGCTTGTGTAATTTTGTTTTGATAACAGTCATTTTTTGTTTTTCTTATTAAGGAATGAAGTTTGTTTCTGTAATTTTTATACTGGTTTTCAAGTTCTAGAGTGTATTTTTTGTTAGTTTTTTTTTAGAGACTCTCTTTTTTTATTGAAAGTATTAAACCTGTTGTTATCGATGGTTTTAGTTTAATTATAGTTTTTGTGTTAATTGTAGATTTAGTGCATTTTTGAATTTGTTAATTTAGCTTATTGAAAAATAAATCGTATGCTTTTTGTGGTTCAGCCGTATTAATTATCATTCCAATTTTCTCTGCTTAAACAATGTTTTAGATTATCAAAATTTATTATGGTCACTTTGTTTTTTGATTGGGGTTCCTCATTTTTAACCGACTTCAAAAAAGGAGGAGGTTATCAATTCGTCGCGATATTTTTTTTTATGTATGTTCAGCGATAATTCTTTAACACTGTGTCCGATTTCAATAGTTCTTTTTTTGCTAGAAAGGGGATACTTCAGGGGTGGTCCCATATAAATTTGGTTAAAATCTACTAATTGGGTCCATGAGAAAATCCTCAAACTCTTCATTTTTTATGTATGTTTAGCGATAATGCTTTACCACCTTGTCCGATTTATATGATTCTTTTTTGTTAGTAAGGGGGTACCTCAGGGGTGGTCCCATATAAATTTGGTTAAGATGTGAAGATGGTATCTGCACGTTTTTGAAGCCGGATTTTTTTTAATTTTTAATTTCTAATACTTGTTTTTTGTAGGAAAAGATATTAGTATAAAAGGAGAATAGTGATCTTTCATATCTGTGTGAAATATAATTGGCTCAAGTTCGACGTTTTTTATTAGGTTTTTATGGGTTCTAATAAAAATATGATCAATGGCAGTTTTTGACTCATTTTGTACTCTCGTTGGTTTATTTATATATGATTTAAAACTTTTGGAATTCATTATATTTAAATATTTGTTTATTTTGTTAGTTTCTTTTTTTAATATATCGATGTTTATATCACCTACATATATTTCTAGATTTTCATATTCTATAGAATTTAGGTATGTTTCTAAATTATCTAAATACATATTTAAGTCGGTTGCCAGAAGTCTATAGAAGGCGGTAAGCCCAATTTTATAATTTTTTGGCAAATAACTGGAAGTTAAAATAGCTCTAAGAAATTTGGTTTCATTTACAGGTACGATATTAACATTCGCTGATATATTATTTCTTACATACATTATGGAACCGTCGCATTTGTTAAATATTGCCTCATTGTAGTGAATTGAAAACTGAGGAATGGAAAAATCATGAATATTTTTTATTTGACCTGTTTCTGATAATATTGTGACGAAGTCACTAAATTTTATTTTTAATTCATCTTAAAAATATATATTTCAATTAAGAACATGTAGAAGTTCCCCCGTATTTTTGTTTCCCAGGAATTACCGTTTTCAACAATTGCGAGTACCCTAGTAGATTAAAATATTCTTATATTTGCCGAAATACGAATGGGCATTTTTAGAGTCGATTTCGTATGGATTATCTACTTTAAATTGTCAAGGTATTAGAAGGACATTTTTTATATTTCTAAATTGTAAACAGTCAGCTGTAGTGGTGGTATCCCCACTCGGGCCTACTGGTCTTCCACATTGCTTTACCGAAAACGCATAAATTAAATCCCATCTGGGAATTACGCGCTCTTTTCGCTTGCCAGCCGCCGTAAGCTATTCTCTCTTAATTGCCGACAGCCGAAAACTATTCACCCTTAGTTAGTACCTAGTGCCGTAAGTACCGTGATTTAGTTCATCGATTAACCCCGTTTATCTGCCAAGGTAGGAACGGTATATTATTATTTTTTTTATATTGGCTTTTATATAATTAGTTGGAACACCCGTGTGACAAGTGAAGAATTTTGATTCACATCCAGGATATATTATTTGATCCCTTAGTGGGAAACCGTTGGTAATTTTTTATTTGAGGTTGGACCTAGACTAGACACCGAGTGCTCTCTTTATCAGCGACTATATCTAATTTCTTTTAAAAACCACCCAGTTAACATCAAAGTTAGAGATTCGACCTGTTTTCGATTTTTTATTATTTTATTTTGTTTTATTTTTTGTTTTTTTTTTTCGGAGATTCGATCCGTTTCCTGGGTTAGAGAGCTCTTTCTCCTGATGACGTTGTCTAATTTCCCAAAAAGACGTTTAAATTAATTTCCGCGCCTCACTTCATGTAAAATTTATTTTCTTTTAATTTTTTTATTCAGCCGTATTTGAATCATTCCCCGTCCACAATTAGTTATTGAATGAAGCCAGACGACTTCTGTAAAATTAAATTGACACATACGCTCTCGATAGATTGGGCAAAATTCAAAAATATTATTTTCTACGACCGTATTTACCATATTTATCAGTAAGCGAGAATTTTCGTTTGCTATCGCTTGGTTATTAAGATACAAGGGGGCTTCGACAATTTTAAGT